GGGGTAACCACACCCGGCACGCGCGCGCATCGTATGCCCCTACTACCTGGACACACCAGTCCAGCCTGTCACCTCTCCGCCCTTCCCCATAAGAACCAGTATAATCTTGTGCCTGGGACTAAATCAGATGTCCGGAGGCGGACGTTACCGTCGCCAAAGGTGCTGGTCAATATGCCTGGTAACATTCCTTGCTGCGTCTGTAAAGTAGCTCGAACCAAACTGCAATAAAATTGTGTTTGTGCGAGAAATAACCGACCATGTGTGAACAGCAGGAAGCGACCAGTGTCGGGAACCCCATGTCGCAGGGAGCCACAGCGGCCACAGTGGATACCGGACCCAACCACTGATGATATCCGGAAATGATAGCAGTGAGTCTACTCAACCCGATAATGTAGTACTAATAAATGCTGCCTCAGCAGCAGGTGTCCACGAGGAGAATGAGAGACAGCCGCCCCAGTGGAATGGCATGTCGATGGAAAATGCAGTGTCAAAGAAACCTACTAGAATGTCAAGTGGTCGTGCCTGCTAACTTATTTGAACCACCCAAGTGTGCGGCCACCAAAGAAATGATTCGGGAGATGACTCACTTTCACACTGATTACACTCAGGACCGCCTCGCCCCCCTAGCTCTTCAAATTGGCAATAATACTCACATCTATTTTTGTCAGAGGACACACACACACAAAGGCTAAGCACACAGCGAAAAGGGCAGCAATGAAGAGAAGGTTGGGATAATGTGGGCAGACTGGGGCCCTAGATGATTCCTGCGTGAAGCAAGAACACTGCAGGAGAGACTAAAATCTACGGGTGACGGAAAGCAAAAACACTGATGGATGTGGCAGCACAATTTGGAAACAAAATGTGGGTGTGCGCCCCTGCGGTAAGATCTTGTTGAATATGAATTTCCAGAGTGAAAACAGCCAAAACAGAGCTATGGCTAAAAACTATTATTGAAAGAGAAACATCCTAAAAGTAAGATGCTGCATCAGGCTCCAGGGTGCTTATATCCCACTAAACGCTGTCCTGTTCGGGAGAAAAAATAACAGGAGAGATGGTGGAAAAAGGCACTGACACCTTCCGGAGGCGGAGCTTATTCTTCAGGTCTGATGAGTCATCCTCACAAAAACAAGTTTGGCCCCAGCATGATCTCTGCACTGCTATTGCCACCAGAAAGCCAACCTCACGCCATCACCTCCAGGCTCTGACGGCCTGCCGCCTTATTCCCTCTGGAAAAGAAACCAGATGACCACAGGGTGGGGGAAGTGCTGAGGCGGATCATTTGAAAGTGTATAATGGAGGTGTAAAGGATGATGTCAGGGCAGCAGCAGGGAACCCACAAGTGTGTCGGCCACCAGGCTGGTGGGGAGGCAGGCTATTCACGCCATGAGATTGATGGCTTTCTGAGCAGCGTGATTGTGAGGCCATGTTCTCCTGGTGGATGCTTTCCAAACGCATTCAATATACTTAACCGCAAGGCGGCACTGCACAAACATCAAGATCAAGTGTCCCAGCTTTGCGATGTGAGTGTTGAAAAATCGCACAGAATCCTTCAGACCCTACGTAGTAAACAAATACACACTTAATACGAGGTGATACCATCCTACAGTCGACCGAGGGAACAACACAGGAGACCCTAAGCGCAATGGCAATGTGGCGCAATAGGCCTATCAGTGCTCCAACAAGAAATAAAGTATGAAACAACTGGGGTCAAACAAGGGTATGCTGATGACCTCACAGGAGCAGGAAAAGTGGAGATCAAAAAAGTGTGAATCGGTAACATCGCGAGGTCCACAAATAGGGTGGCCACCCAAACGCCAGCAAATCCTTCCTCATCGCGGAATGGGGACTGCTGGTGACGGGCTGTGGAGGCTTTTCGGGCGAAAGCAGGTGAGGCCCAAACAACGGACGGCCAGCACATCTAGGGCGCAGAATGGCACTACGGACTTCAAGCATGACCCAGTACGAGGGAAAAGGTGAACGAGTGGGTTGAAGGAACCATGCTCATCGGAGATTACAACACAGGTTTCAACATGCGCCTGCAGCATCTGCCATTACGGGAGTCAAGCATCGTTGAACTACCTGGATGCGTATCATCCGAGATCCCATCCTCCCTCCACCCTTTGAAGAAGCAACTGCGTCAAGTTCATTCCCAAACTAGGTGAAACACCACGACTTAACCCCAGTAGAAAGAACACTTCTTGCACTTCCACCAAGACTACAAGGGATGGGGACTAACTAATCCAGAGATTGCTGACTCTGGAACATCAAAATTCACCAAGCTCACGGCAGCCCCACTGACCATATTAAGCCCAGAATGCAAGAACAGGGAAGTGGACACCAGCGAAGTTAATAAAGACTGTAGATCCACGGCAACAGATCGGCAGCACGGCTAAATGACATGTTGCAGCAACTATTGCTGCAGGTTCCAGAAAATCTGACAAAAAAGTAGCTATAGCGAGGCGCCCCTAGCAACTGGTTAACTACGTCACTGACAAGGGGCAAATGGTTTCAGCTCTTTAACAAACAAGAATTTACAGATGCCATTGCTCTAAGGTAATGGTTATTGAGATGGCTTGGGTCTCCCAATGCGTGTGTGGTTCCTAGATGCAAGATCACGCCATGGTTTGCAAGAAGGGGGGCTCTATGCATGAGGCATGACGAGGTAAGGGATCTCATTGCAAAATATTGGGCTGGAACCTGCTGGGACGTTGCGAGAACCGACCTCCACTGGATATATGATCTCCAAACAGACCAAACACATCTATAATGAAGCCCGTGTGGACTGCCAAAGTGCCTGAGGACTGACGCTGACAGCGGTAGCCTTCTTCGAATAGGATTTTTGATCCCACGCTTTGAATTCTATAGGCGTCTATGTCCCAGACAAGAGAAGGCATATGGAGAGAATTCAAATGTCGATCACAGCAACTTAATTCCGCTAGTGTTCACAACCTCCGGTGAGGGCCCAAGCCAAGAAGATGTTTTACGCCAGACTATGGAGCTGATCTCCGAACAGAAGCAGTCTGTAGTTATGTCACAGCCTGGACAGAGATGTCGACTGTTCCTTTCTCTCTTGCCTGGCTTGTTTTGCCTCAGGAACGAGAGAGAGTTTTATTCTCACTCCGTCAACCTGCTGCAAGAGAGGATATATAGAGTAAAAAAGGAGGAAGGAGGGGGAGGGCGTGTGGGGTTGGACGTGGGTTGGGGAGGGACGTGGGTAGGGAGGGACGTGGGGTAGGAGGGCGTGGGTTGGGGTGGGACGTGGGTAGGTGGGACGTAGGAGCAGCCAGTTATTAGCGCGTACTATGAGAGGCGACTAGCAGTCGACAAACCCATCCCTGGCTGAGTGAGAAGAGAAAGAGGCGATAGAGGAGGTGGTGGGGAGGAAGAGAAAGAGGAGGAGGAGGAGGAAGAAGAAGAAGAAGAAGAAGAAGAAGAAGAAGAAGAGGAGGAGGAGGAGGAGGAGGAAGAAGAAGAGGAGGAGGAAGAAGAAGAAGAGGAGAGGAGGAGGAGGAGGAGAAGAAGAAGAAAGAAGAAGAGGAGGAAGAGGAAGAAGAAGAGGAGGAGGAGGAGGAGGAGGAATAATGTGGAGAAACAGGTGAGAGGAAGATAATGTGGAGAAACAGGTGGAGGAGGAAAGAGATGTGGGGTGGGTTGCGGCCTATGAGAGAGTTAGGTTTTACCAGCCTACATCATCAAACAGCGGTGCTGCCACAAGGATAACCATACTGAGAGGGATGGTGTAGGGAGGGGGGAGGATGGAGGGAGGGGATAGTGGAGTGGGTTGGGAGAGAGGGAGGTGGTGGGATGAGAGAGAGCCGAGAGGGATGGTGGTGAGGGAGGATAGTGAAATGGGATGGGAGATTTATAAATGTGGGATGGAAGAAAAATCTAGGGAAGGATAGTGGTGTGATAGAGGGACGATAACGATGGAAGGGAATGAGAGAGAGAGAGAGAGATAACGAAACAAAATAGAGAGGTTATAGGGAAAAAAGGTTTATGAAGAAGTGGAATAGATAAGAAAGAGAGAGAGAGAGTAAATAATAATAAATGGAGAGGTGAAGGTTATCAAAGAAAATGGTGAAGGAAGAATAACTGATAAGAGAAGATGAGGAAGAGCAACTTTGTAGAAGGAAATGGAAGGAGGGAAGAGGGACGGTAGAGGGAAGACCTGAGGAAATGTGGAGGGAAAGAGGAGTAGAAGGAGGAAGAGGAGGAGGAAGGGAGGGAGGAAGGAAGAAGAGGGAGGGAAGGAGGGGGAGGGAAGGAAGGGGAGAGAAGGAAGAAGACAGGAGGAGGAAGGGAGAAGAGGGAGGGAAGGAATAAATAAGGGAGAAGAGGAAGGGACGAAGGGCACTTAAAACCGGACAGGGAGGAAAACTAAAAACATACAGTAACAGTAAATATAATGAGATGATGAAACAGAGATCAAAAAGGTGATTAATGTAATAAGCCTTAATTAGTCTCTCGGTTTTAAAGGTCAAAGAACTAATAAACACGTAAGGTAAACAAAAACTCCTATGTGAGGGAATTACCATTTAACCCTTTGAGTCCTAGTGGGTTAAACCATCATCCTTAAAGGGTTAAATCATAGTCCTCAAAGGGTTCAATCATCGTTCTCTCATAGGGTTAACTTATCATCCTCAAAGGGTTAAATCATAGTCCTCAAAGGGTTCAATCATCGTTCTCTCATAGGGTTAACTCATCATCCTCAAAGGGTTCAATCATCGTTCTCTCATAGGGTTAACTCATCATCCTCAAAGGGTTAAGGTCAAGTAACAAAGGTACTGTTTATGTGTTGATGTAAACAGGTAAAGATAACTTAAATGTCAACAGGTGTATAGGTAATTTCAGGTCAACTTGTTGTTTTTAGTCGTGACCTTACGGAATCTCATGTACTGATGATATATATATATGACTATTCAATGATAAAAGAATAATAGTACTTAACAATATCAACTTCGGTATACAACAGAACATAACACTACGCAACTCACACCTACCTGGAGATATATTATACCTTCCACTTTTACACAACCTTACCGTTTTAAACCAGACACTCCATTTGCAAATTAAACGAAAAAGAAAGAAAAAAGATTAAAAATTTCAGGTCATTAGGAAAATCAAGGGAATCTGTGATCAGCTAACAGCCTGGCACCAATTACCTAAATCAGAACGTTCCTTGATGGCCCTCACAAAAGAGATATACAATGAGAGGTTTATAGGACGCGGGTGGGAAGGGCCAGAAAATTGGTAGTTTTATCTTCAGCCAACCATATTCCCGGATGATGTAGTTGTGTAAAAGGTCGGAGGGTAACTGTGAGGTCATTAGCGAGGGGCAGACACCTACCTACTCACTCCACCCA